CAGAATTTAGGCTAATCCATACTATTTCTTTGTTACCTTGTGCTTGTTGATATCCCCCTTGTTTTATCTACCAGTTGGACTTTGACTTCTATTTAGGTGTCGAGCTGGTCAAGGTGGCAGGAGCCACCTCTTTGTTATGCATGTGCAGGGGAAGGGAGCTCCCTGGAAGCTACAGCATTTAAAAACCAAAACCCAAAACCAAAACTTTAATTTCATACTATTATTAGACTTGAGTGTAAATTGCATCAGAAAAAGTATTTTGAATAGTTTGTTCTCTGAGCACAGTGCAATCCAGAGTTGCTCTATCTGTCCGTTTTAATGAATGATATGCTTTATATTACAGTTTTTGGCTTATTTTAAAATGAAACTAATTTATAAGTCCTCTTGTTACTAGAGTAACTAGAATTTTCAGTTGTGTTGAGTTCCCTGACAGACAAATAGATCATGTAAGGAATGTAACTCTAATTTTTGTATGATATTTTCTAGTTGTATGGTAATTGTCTATTCTATGTTGCTATTTATCATGGAATATTCTAGGCCTAAAATAAGCTTTTTTTTTCACCTCTTTATGTCATATATGTAAAAGTGGGGAATTTGCATTAGTATCTAGGGATAATAATCTTGAGTTATAATATGGAGTAAGATTAGTAGACCTATTTGTTACTGTTCTTCTCTTCAATACCACATTTTGTAGTGTGTGTGTGTGTGTATGTTTGTGCACCTGTATTAGAAAAGACACTTAACACTTAAATAACACTTAATAACAGTGTTATTTTGAAATATTATAAGGAGTATTTTGTAGGCAGATATAAAAGACTGGGAATATAAATTGCATACTATCTTAACCTTCCTTGATTAGATGTTTACTTTTTCCAGAATGGTTATACACAAAGCTTTCCAGCTTTGTCAACTTAAAACTAGTTGTCTTTTGCTTCTCCTGCATGCAAAGGTTGAGGGGAGGTTTTCCCCAGTCATCCTGGAGCCTGGTTCTCGAAGGGCTATCTTAAATCTCCCCGCAGTATGGGATTTACCTGAATGAGGTCTGTAGAGTTTAATCCAAGTTCTAGCCTATTTCGGTAAGACAAAATCCTTTAGAGTTTGACTCCAGGATCAGCAATTTTCTTCCATTCCAAAAAGATTTTTTCCTTCTTTTATGAATAAGCAGTGATTTTATCCCATCATGAAACTGAGCAGAATTGCAGATTGTCTCAGGGCACTCAGATGCAATTTAGGCAGTCCTATATTTAAAGGCATGTGAATCTTCATGTCCCACAAGCAAGACGGGTTTTTGGCTTTTCTGGTCACCTATCACCAGCTAGTCATGTTTCTTTATCTTCAGTTCTGCTTAGATGCATCAGATCAACGTGCTGAGTACCTGGCCTAGTAGACAGAGCCCACATTTGGATTAGGCCTTGGATGATTTGGTCCTCGGAAATCTTTAGCTAAAACTTCAATGTCCATTTCTCCTTTAAATTTGGGTAGTGGAATCCAAAGCAACTATATCACCCTGAGTGAAACATTTGAGTTTTACAGAATTTTACTTTAATTTTTTTTTTTTTTAATATTCCTAAATTCTTAAATCTGAACTTAGAAAATGCTCCTTTGGACTCTAAGTTAATGAATCTTTTGCCAACATTCCTTATAAAGGCTTAACGTTTTCCTAGCAAATGATTAACAGTTGGGACAAACCCTTCCTTGGGACATTAATTTTACCGTCTGCTGTGTAGTCTGTTTGGCTGGGTCTGTAACACATTTCCGATTGTCTAAATATAAAGAGATGAAATGGGAAGGGGCTGCCAAACTCCACTGTGTAACATAAAACAATTCAGAGGAAAAATGTTTATAATTTTTCTTCTTCCTTTTACATTGATGTCTACGTTTCGTCTTTAGCCAGAAGATGCTGGCATCATTTCCTCTCTCTTAATTGACTTGCAAGTGATACAAAACATAATATGATGACCCTCTTAACTTTCTTAATTAAAGTTTTCATACTTAACATCAAGAAGTTTAAGAATCCTGATTTAATCTCAGAACTGTTAAAACACCACTTTTTGAGCCAGTGGATGCATATATTACATCAGTAGGCTTTTTTTTTTTTTAACTAAGTACTAATAATTATGGAAATTTGGAATTAATCACAGCAACAAATGTTTTCAAAGTGATGAAACTAGGGGTTTTTTGAGATAGTGTAGCACATTTCTGTCTCCTTTTATTGTTCTTATGACATTAAGTCCTATTTGAACTAACGGTGTGATTGCCCCATGGATTTTTTAAAAAAACTGTGTCTCTCCCTTAAAATGCCTCAGAAAGTTAACTCGCATACCAATTAGCTGGCTTGAGCCTTGGTTGGGGTCAGCTGCAGTGGGCTGCCCTGAGGCTTTACAAGCTTTGCGGCGTGACTGTTGCAACCTGAATGGGGACTAGCTGCCTCCTAGAGGAGCTGGGATGGCCGCAACTGTTAGACCACTGGCATTAGAAAAAGCCCTTCTTCCTTTCTGGCCAAAAATAAATAAATAAATAAATAAATAAAGGAGAGAGAGATTAGCAAAAACATCCATATGCCCATTATTTCTCACCATTATTTCTCACTGATTGCTGTCAGATGGAAACATATGGAGCTTTGCTGTTGAGTATTTATGTGTAAATACATCCCATTGTCACCAGGTGGCCATGCCTTGAGATTTTAAGGACCATTAAAAATGTTATGCAATAGTAAGATTTCCTTTCTAGGGAAGGTATCCTGGTTAGATTTGTAGGTGGTGCATAACACAGATGGTTATCTGGGCAGGATCTTAATATTACAATTGTTTCCAGAAATCTGATAACTTTGTGACTTTACCAAACAAGCAGAGACTTGCTGGACGTTCTTAGATATCTTCTATTAAGCAGCTGACCTTGACTGTTAAGGGAAGTGTCACTGTAGAGCAGAAATCATGTCGTATTGGGAGGCTAGGGAAATGCACAGATGTCCTGTGCAATCACGGGAAAGTGATTTGTTGATGTATCAGCACTGCATTTCCAAGATGCAATTATGCCTTGTTTCATCATGCTCAAACTTCCTTTAATTTGACTAGCCTGTATATCAGTGAAGTATTACTGCAGCAGTACAACTGCAGAATACGCTAAGTAAGTGTCTTTGGGGAGCTGATCAGGTGCATCACTGGGATTTCCTGGCTGTCAGCCCCCAAAGCGGGTGATTTGATGATACGTCTTGTCTGAAACAATCTAGATTTAGCAACGGAAGATCTCACATTGCTAGTAGTATCACCACAGCACATTAAGCTCAGTTCAGCACAGCGGGGTGCAACCTAAGAAGCTAGGGAAATGCCTGGGTCATTTGTTCACAGTAAACTCCATGTTTAGCAGCAAGCTGCAAGCTGCGTTTTAGTTCATTAACTTAAAGTGAGCTCAAGTGTAACTGTGAGCTGCAATGTGAACACACTAACTCAAGCCTATACCTGTGAAACTTGTGTTCTTTATTAGATATAGTTGCTGTCTTTGAGTGCGTCTATAAAATAGAAGTGATTCCTTGCCTCATAGGAAAGATGTGTCAAGGAACAGAGAAACTGAGGGAGTGGGAGTGAGTTAATGCTAACAGAAACTATATAGATCCCTGAAGCAATATAGCAATACAGGATAATGTATTTTTCCCCCCTTCCTCCAAGTGAGACATTTTAATGAGCAGGTGATTCTGCTTCAAGCTGCCTACCAACTTAATGTGATGAGACAAAGGCAGGGCTCATCTATACCTGAATGCATCCTAAATGAGATTTAAAAATCTGTTACTGGCAAAGGAGCAGGTAATGACCACATTAGTATAACTGTCTTATTAAAAGTCTGAAAAGCTGTTGGATAGCTTTATTGCGGAACAAGATAGCAGAAAAATCTGATAAACTTACAAATATCTGTTTTTCCAGAGCCTGATTCAATCCCAGGAGATTGAAAATTGTGTTTCTGAGACCACTTATGTATCATCTTCTATTTGGCTTTAAATCTGTGATTTAGATTGAGTACATAACAGGTTTAACGTAGAATCAATTCTCCCATAAAATTCTTCTCAACTGGGCATGCAGAGCCCTGTCTATTACAAAGTCAGCCTCTTTCACATTTCCTTTTATTCAAAACTCTGAATATGCCATTAAGTAAAGAGGTTTTTTTAATACATCTAATCATACATATATCTGGAAATTCTTAGGAGTCAAAAATTATCTAATAGTAAAATGGTTCTGTCTGGAAATGGGAGATCTGTGGTAAAGCTGGCAGAGTTTGACTATTGATTCTTCAGTAGGTCAGTTGTACTGAAGTTGAGTCTTTACTAAACTCACGCTCCTGGGAATAAGTTTAGAATGAGTCTGAATGACAAAATGAGTTTGAAATAAATGAAAAAATGAGTTTGAGAACTTAGAGGCTGCATGCTCAGTTCCATTAAGTCACATATTTTGTGACAAGGTAGGACAGAGATCAAATAGGCTTTCTCCCAAGTTCCATGTGTAGTTAATATTGATTCTACTTAATCATTTAACCATTAAGTAGTAACATTATAAAAAAAGAAGAAAGCATGAGGAAAAAATCGTCCTGTCATACAGGAATGTAAGGCTATTAAATGCTCACAGTGAAAACGGGAAATAAATGTTGCGTTGAGGAACAGAGGAATGTGTGTGTTCTTTGTTCAGTAGAGTTGGTGCACATCAGGCTTTGTCCAAAGATGGTGGGAGGTATGCATAGGTGCATGCATAGGTGGCATATTGGACCTCTTATTATGTGTGGCAATGTCAAGCTTTCTTTTGTATTCATTGACTTCTGATGCTTACCTAGGAGAGTGCCGCCCAATGAATGAGTTTTTCAGCCAGCTGGCTTTTTTTTGGTCCTTCTGCAGCTCTCATCTGTTTGCATGCCACTACCAGCTCTGAACTGCTGTGCTTGCATTGTGCCCTGCGCCATGCCGCACGGCTGGCAGTGCTGTGGTTTGCTGAATAACAAGGCACTCTCTTCTCTTCCAGTTTCGCCTGGTAGTAAAGACAGCGCTGAAGCTGCTGTTGGTGTTTGTGGAGTACACTGAATCCAACGCGCCCCTTTTAATCCAGGCAGTGTCTACGGTTGATGAAAAGAGAGGTGAGTAGCCTTATTTGGGGGGCATGAAATCCCAGTGTCACTGAGGTGAGGGAGGAGTTTAGTTGTTGATTTCAGTGATCCTAGGGTTGCTGTCATGGTGCCTGTTTTATGTGTCATACCCTTAACTTCCTAATTAAAAGCTTATTTTAAGTGTTCGTGTAACTTAAGATAGTTTTGAGAAATAATTATAGTGGAATAGCAAAGGATGAAAACTCGAAGGAGCCTGCTGCCTCCCTCTACACCATAGTCACTGTCTCTCCTTTCCTGCGCCCCAAAGCAAGGTAAACCCTGTCGCATATGGGGGAACCTTGGAGGCTCCCCTGGGCCAGACCATCTCTCCCTTGCCTTCTGAAAAGCAGCAATCTGACTTACAAGAGAAAATAATATCTAATCAGTGTAATCCCTTTGAAGAGAAAGACGAGGTCAGTAATAGTACAGGCTTTATAGGGAAAACAAAACCATCTGTTGTTACATTAAAATAAAGCCCTTGAGCAGATATTATGCTATGAAATCTGTTACCCTTCAGGCTCATGCAAAACACTTGAATATGTATACTGTGGGGTTTTTTTACAAATAAATAGAACAAAAATGGCCCTTTCTTGTTCTTCCCGCAGAGCTCTTGCTAAGCTCCTGGGCCACTCTCTCTTGATGTAAACCATTCCTTTGCCTCGAGGAGAGGTTTTGAGGTTGCGAGAGCTGTTGTTGTGGTCTCCAGCACATGGGGGTTAAAAGCAAGATCCCCTCTGCGGAGCAACAGCCTCCATGCTGAACTTGTTTAAGTGAACTGATATGGGAAGTGAAATTAAAAAAAAGTTGGAGAACGGGAGGAAAGGTGGTACCAGGAAAAGGAGGAAGTGGCCAGATTTTGTTTGCAGCTATCTGAATAGGTGTGCTGAAAAGACCGAAGGGAAAAAAAAAATTATCTGCTAAGGAGGGTAGCAGACGGGGTGTTCAAAAACAGTATAACACTTCAAAATAGTGAACTCCTCAGATAGGCTTTCTGTTTTGAATTAAAACCCATGAGCCCTGCAATGCCATAAGCAGAAATGTAGTTACAATTTTCATGTAATTGTGGGTCCTGTAATTTATTTTTACAGCCAGTCTTAGTATTTCTGCAGCCCTCTGAACTCACTTGTATTCTCAACTTGTTCAAGTTACCATGTGTTCGCATGCTACTAAACCTCATTAAGGAAGAAAAAAGAGAGAAAGTAGGACCCTGCACACATGACCAAGTGCTGTGTACTCCCTCCTGTAGCTGTAGAATGGCCTCAAGCAAACATTACAGTGCCCTAAAGCAATAAAACAACTTCAGTATCAACAAAAAAAGCGTAGGGAAAAAAGTGATGCTTGTTGCTGGATGGATGATTGCTAAGAGTAGGAGGGGAAAGTTTATGGGACTTCTCATACCTATGGGTTGGCAGAGTGTCTCATGAACTCTCCCAAAGAAGTTATCCCCAAATACCCAAATTTTTTAAATAAGCAATTATGCTTAGCTACAGAAGAGATCTTTTTTTTCCTTGTTCTACCTTTAGTTCTTTATGTAGGTCATCAACATAACAGCCCTTTTAGCTGTGAAAGTGCTATTTTTTTAATTACATTTAGAAATTAGTGGCTTCTAATTGAGAAGTCTTTGCCCTTAATGACTGATTTAACAGAATAGAAATAAAGAGGAAGAAAAGAGAGGTGCCTTTTCTTGAAATGTTGTCATAAATCTTCCAGGTATATAATTAAGTTTAGCACTGCTTTGAAAAAAGTCCAATATTTCATGTACATACAAGGTGATGAGATATGACATAATTCCTCAACATGTGTACCACACATGAGTAACATAAAGATCCCCCTAATAACTCAGCCCAGTTTCAAAGTGATCCCATCTGTAGTTTCCATGCAAGGGCACATCCATATGCAAACCGCGGTACAAAGATTCGTAGAAGCGCCTGCTCTGCTCTCCGATACAAGTGGCTCCTAAGTGAATAACTGCAGAGTCCTCATCAGACAGGAAGTAGCTTTTAGTTATATTTCCATTGAGGGTTTGCTTTCCCCCTCACTCCCTGGCTTTTCTTGTTCCACAGCCACAGAGGAGTTTGATGTCTTTTCAGTGGAAGCATGCTGGGACGGTGCTTGGGGTGCTGGGCAGCAGGGTTGGCTTTCCAACAGGCCCTCCAGGGCTGTTTTATCACAAGCATTTTTGAGTATTGCGATTAAAGCCCTGTGGCTGAATTGGATGTAATATGTACTGTTATATTCAGCTTATGAATTACACTTCTGCTGCCTCGGTGGTGGTTATACTATTTGTAAAGGGCCTGCATTAGCAATTGTCCACTTTTCTTTCCTTGTCACGCATAGTTAGGTATGCAGGCTAATACTGTAGGCGTGAGGGAAGGCTTTATGTTCACAAATATTTAAATAGCCAGGAATACAAGATGCACAGGTCTTTCCAAAAGTAAATAGTAATATTCTATCATATGGCAGCTAGAGACAGGCACTCTTTGAGTTGGTGAGCTCAAACAGAGCCAATTCTCTGTCCATCAGTTCTGTCGGTCCTCATGTGTGGTTCTAGCCTGATCCTAGCTTTTCCCTGGTTGAGATATTTTGTGTGCATCCTGTGTAGCTGTGATGTCAAGATTTTATGTAAGGTACGAATGACAGCATTAAACTAATGTCAATTTTTTTCCTGAGATTCATGTGTAAAAACATTTTGAGGGGAGACTGAGAAAAGAATGAGTCTCAAAGCAATGGGCAACAGGATTTAATAGACTATATTTAATATATGTTGCAAGCTGATAGTTCTCTGTGTACTTATATGCCATCCTAGCTACAAAGGGTGTTGTAGTAGCATCGTGGACAAGGCCCCAGCCCTCCTATCAAAGTGCACAGAATAGTCGCTGTTACCAGTAGGAAGCATGTGAAACACAGTTGAGCAATTCTCATTTTATCCAGTAGAAGGCAGGAGAACACACACAAAAAGCAGCCTTTAGTGCTTTGCTATAGTGATTTCATCACTCTTGTTAACGTTACCTCCAGTCCTGCATGGGAGTCATAACCTTATGTGAAAATCACAGTCTGCTCTCAGAAAAAGAGCTGGGATTCCACACCTGCAGGCTTTTGCACCGGGATCAGAAGGAGGGGGCAGGCTGGAGGGTGAACTTCTTGAGAATTGGCATGCATAAATTATTAGACTTAATATTTTTAAAAACAAACTGTATAGCATAGGAACACTAAATGGATTTGTGTTTTTACTAGAAATCCATGTGCATTTCAAAATTTAGATTTAAGGTCAGGTCTTTCAAAATTTGTAATATTCGGACCATTCCATAGATAATGGCAAGCTGGAGCTTTTAGCTCTGGATAATAGTTTCCTCAGAGGTTTGAAACCCATCTATAATTGGAGAGCTTTTAGTATTTTCCACAATGCAAATATCCTTTTAAGGGAAAAGGGGAAAAAAACACCTCATGTTTTTCAAATCTGTTAAGTGAGCATCCTTATTTCACTAGAGCAACCTATGACTCTTGGAAGACTCATTCTCTTCTTAGTGTATGATTTCCCAGGGTATCTTTCACAAAGGTTTCCTAAGCAGCCTGAGAGGAGCTTTTTAACTGTGCCATCCATCCTCTTACACAAGAAGTGCTGCACTGGAAATGAACTTTCTCAAGTAAGACTCCAGCCTGGAGTCTCGCCTTTAAGTTGTGACTCCCCAGGAACAGAGGTTTTAGACAACCAAGCCTCAGGGCATGAGATTGGATGAGGGTAGACACCCAGTCTTGATCTGCCCATACTCCATGCTGTCCAGACCGTAGGTTGGAAATTATAGGTTCTCATTAGCGTGAGAAGCAAGGAATGTTAACCAAAGCATAGTATGCAATAACTTCATGGGGCATTCTCCAGCCCGGAACGATCTTGTTCCTGGGATCAGTCGACGGCCTTATGCCTAACTTCATGCTCGCTCCTTCACTGTTCAGCTTGAAATCACAATAAGGAAAATAGCATTTTGAAGGAAAGGCTTCATCTGGTACAAACTGGAGTTGCTCCATTGAAGTCATTGTATTGCTTTCTATTAACACCAGTTGAGGAACGGATGAAGAATTGCAGACTTAAGGCTGAATTTTGGAAATGGCCTAAGGTAAGTAGCAGCATCCTAGTTAAAGCCTTTGAAAAGTGGATGAGCTATTATGGGGCTGTGTTTGTATTAGGCAAACTAGTAAGTTTGCCTAATAAACAATTATTTTAAAAAGTATTCTGAAACAGAGAAGCAGTATGGTTAGAGCAAATTATATGTCATCTTTGCATGGAAACAGCAAGGAGATCCTAAAAATTTTCTGTTAAGATAATGGGGAAATATAGAGACATTCAGGAAAAAGAATCAAAACACTGGGATACCGTCTTTAAAAAAAGAAAACATGATGCCAATAAGAATAAATCTGTCTGCAAATTAAAGGCATATTTCCCTAGAAGGACTTTCGCTGAATAATGCAGTGTGGATTAAGTAATTAATTTTTCATGTTATTGACAACTCACTTTTTTCCCTATGGTATTGTTATAGGCCAGACTTGCATAGCTTCCCCATTTTGTTTCTCTTTCTTATTTTCTTCCATTTTTATTTTTCACTAGAAACCACAGGAAGACATTTTTGTTTTGAGGATATCATTCCTGC